GACAGGTCTCTTTTGTGAGTTTGTGAAGTTCTGGAAAGAACCGGGGGAAACGCAACGTTTCGGACAGTAAACTCTGCCCATTGTCTCCTGTGTATACAAACAGTGCTTGGAGCATGAAATCATGTCCACCCCAATTCATTTTTTCAATTTGTCATCCCCGTTACTGATGCCTATCATCAACACCAACCTTTCGAATTTTAAAATTGGAGAACAGTGAGTATATGGAGCCTCTAGGCTAGATCCTTCACAATCAGCCAGGATAGAACTTTGGACTTGATGCAGCTTGAACGTTTAAAGTTCGAAGTTCAAAGAGAATGCCATTGGTTTTCTGCACACTGGAGGTGTTTGAAGATTTGGGAAGGTACCAAGGAAAATGCTTTGAGTGTTGTGTTAATTACTTTTTACAATGTTTGAGTCTACATTTCTTTGAATGTTCAGAATGAATTTGGATGGGAGATTGACTACCCTATAGTCTATACTAATTGGGGAACGGATGAACCCAGCGGTCAAGCTGGTGAAGGATGTGTGCGTGCCAGGATCGATGGGGACAATTGGGACGACACAACCTGTGCTGACACAGCGGCATACATTTGCCGTTTAGATAAACTAGGTAAGAAAAAAAACCTCTTAACGTTCAGAATAAACAATGTTGGTGCTTGTAGAATGCTTGTGACCTGATCTGGCAAAAAATGATGCACAAAGATCACAACATGAGTTACATAAATGCATGGGCTTGTAGCTGCACCAAACAACTTGTGTTTTGCTTTTATCGTGATGAGAGCAGGTCATTAACCTTAATGTTTGCTACATCAAGTGGCTGTCTTATAACAACAGCTTCAAATTTGTATTGGCACTTCCTTGTAGGGTTGTATTCCTAAGATGGAATTTGGTCGGGGTGATGTAAATTCAACATTTTATTGGCCCTTCATCAACGCTGTATACTTGGTCTTGTTCCAAGTGATTATGATAAAAAAAATTCACAAAAAATACTCATGTGGGGCTCGAACCCACGATCTCCTGTTTACTAGTGGAGACGTCTTACCAATCGACCCCAAACTTGGTTCGAATCTGATAAAGTAGCGTGTACTGCAACCATACTCTTTATCAGATGATATTTGAGTAAGGGTAATATCAATTCAATATTTATTTACTTTTTTTGCCCAATATTGTGAATATTTTCTCACAATCATTCGGAACAACACTGAGTATGCAGTGTTTACATATTACGTCGGTTAAGGGCGACAAAGCCCCAGATATTGAATTCATATTGGTGTTAATAGAAGAAAATGACACAAATAATGAAAACATCTGGGATCTGTACGAAAAACTAAGAAGAGTGGTATGACTCCCGCCAAACAAAATAAGAGAAAAATACACAAAACACCAAACCAAATAACTGTATGTGTTATTTTAAGTTGTCGGAATGCTTGTCACATTGACTCACGTTTACAATCAGGGGTCACATTAATGTAGCTTTCTGTACCAGCGAAAGTGTACATTGTGAGTGTTCTCAGCTTCTATCTGCTAATTAGCAATTTCTGCTTTGATAGCGACTATGTAAAAAAGGCAAAATTTACTCTCCCTGATTCCTGATAGCAACAAACGTTCCCACCCAACCCGTACCACAGTCCTCATTCCACTGTCTAAGCCCCATCCAACCCCCACCCCAGTCCCCATTCCACTGTCTAAGCCCCATTCAACCCCACCCCAGTCCCCATTCCACTGTCTAAGCCCCACCTAACCCCCACCCCAGTCCCCATTCCACTGTCTAAGCCCCATCCAACGCCCACCCCAGTCCCCATTCCACTGTCTAAGCCCCATCCAACCCCCACCCCAGTCCCCATTCCACTGTCTAAGCCCCATCCAACGCCCACCTCAGTCCCCATTCCACTGTCTAAGCCCCATCCAACGCCCACCTCATTCCTCATTCCACTGTCTAAGCCCCATCCAACCCCCACCCCAGTCCTCATTCCACTGTCTAAGTCCCATTCAACCCCACCCCAGTCCCCATTCCACTGTCTAAGCCCCACCCAACCCCAACCCCAGTCCCCAATACACTGTCTAAGCCCCATCCAACCCCACCCCAGTCCCCATTCCACTGTCTAAGCCCCATCCAACCCCACCCCAGTCCCCATTCCACTGTCTAAGCCCCATTCAACCCCCCAGTCCCCATTCCACTGTCTAAGCCCCATCCAACCCCACCCCAGTCCCCATTCCACTGTCTAAGCCCCATCCAACCCCCACCCCAGTCCCCACTCCACTGTCTAAGCCCCATCCAACCCCCACCCCAGTCCTCATTCCACTGTCTAAGCCCCATTCAACCCCACCCCAGTCCCCATTCCACTGTCTAAGCCCCATCCAACCCCCACCCCAGTCCCCACTCCACTGTCTACGCCCCATCCAACCCCCACCCCAGTCCTCATTCCATGTCTAAGCCCCATTCAACCCCACCCCAGTCCCCATTCCACTGTCTGAGTCCAACCTGACCCCCACCCCAGTCATTCCACTGTCTAAGCCCCATCCAACCCCCACCCCAGTCCCCATTCCACTGTCTAAGCCCCACCTAACCCCCACCCCAGTCCCCATTCCACTGTCTAAGCCCCACCCAAGCCCCACCCCAGCTCATTCCACTGTCTAAGCCCCATCCCACCCCCACCCCAGTCCCACTCCACTATCTAAGCCCTATCCATCCTCACCCCAGTCCTCATTCCACTGGCAACTCTTAAACTCGGCAATTCTCTGTCATTCTGTCAGCCTTGACCTACCCAACTCCTGACCCAGCTACGGTGATTTTACCCTGCCCCAATAGTGACTGGATCTCCCAAGATGAAAACTGCTACTACTTCTCTGACAGAAAGACAGACTGGGGAGAGGCTAATTTCAGGTGAGGCCAGGGGAGGAACAGTGACACAGACATGCAAAGACCCCTTACATCAATAGGACAGGTCCTCAAATTGTGTTAATTTAAATGACAAAACATTTCCTCTGTGTGGGTGGACTGTGCAAGGGGTCTATTGTCTATTATTCATTTGAATAGGATGACTCTCCACTTGACATGATGACTTGTGATGATCTTGGGCTGACTGTAATGTGATTTGCCTAGTTATATACATATGTATAGGCAAGAATGACGTGCTTATTTACGTTCATTAATGTAATGTGGTATACATACATGTACATGTAGTTTGATTATACAGTGGGTTTCGTACATACATACCACAGATGTCTGCTCGCTGACACAGCATAGCCTTAAAACCAAGGCTATGTTATAACTTGTTTACAGTGAATGATAGCAAGGCCTGAACTTGCCAATTTTGAGCCGGAATGTCACTCTCATTTTGACCTATCTGTTTTGGAAATTTCCCATCCCAGATTGCAATCCAAATAATTACTGGATGGGCTGGAAGATAAAATCAATGTCTGCACAGCCACACAGACTGCGCAAACTATAAATGGTTCATTGCAGCCAATTAGGGTTTATATTTCTTGTTCATACAAAGATGCATGCGGATGTATGAGGGTGCCATGCTTGCAAGCATCACTTCATCAGCTGACAACCAATTCATTTATGAAAGGGCCAAAGCCAAATACCCAGTAGAACAATTTGTTTGGATTGGACTGACACGTGTTCAGACTGGCAATGATGATTGGGGTAAGTGGTAACCAGTTTTGTTCATATTTAACATGGACTGCATGGACTCTACATGGGGGGGGGGGGGGGGGGGCTTGGGGGCAAGGAAATATTTTATTGGGGGGGGCAGTCAAAAATCTTAAGACTGTGTACGCGCATGCGTACCATTGTCAATGGTCCGGAAATAAACCACTAGGGCAACTAAGAAGTGAAGTCGTTTTTATGAATGAGAAACGTACCAAACCGCAGAATGGTGTATAACAAATGTAGAACAAATGTACAAAGACGTTGGTTGCACACTATCTACGGCTGCATAAATGCATGTTTGACGTGTGTTGTTTCAAGTACCAATGTTTTAATGCGTTCATTGGCCCCAAATCTAATGAATCTTTAATCAACAGCGAACTTAGTGAAGAAAAATAAACATAGTTAATCCCAACTTGTAGATAAAGTGTTCGGGAAAACTTGGAGGCAAACTGGGCGGGCTAGGACAAAACTGGGGAACAAATGTCGTCCACGCCCCCCGTAGTACCCGCTACTGAGCCTGTGGCGATACAACTACATCAACGTTGGGTCAGTTATGGACTTTGTGATACACAATAAACTTCTTTATACAGTTAGAAACTTGAGGTACGTCCTATCAACACAGATAAATGATGCGCGTGTAGAGAGTTCTACACATACATGTAGAGCTGTCACCAGTGATAATTAAGTACAATCTTCTGGTTATGAATGGAATTCATAATAACATTGCAGCGTTCCTATTCCCTAGGAAAAGTGCCATTTCAAATGGGTATTCCAAATTTACAGAAATGTCATACTTGAACAAAAATAAGGTTGCACACTAGCTAAACCTTAACTTCTATCCTTACAATTCAATTTGAATTGTGGGTGCTACGTGGGCAAAAGTTTAAAGGCAGATTCTGAATGATTTTTTTAAGTTTAAAATAATTAAGACTAGGAAGGTAAATGGCTAAAGTGTGTCATTTTATCAGTCTCTCTTTTCCTGATGAGAAAAGTACTGTTGCTTACTTTCACACATTCTCTATTCACATCTGCACTCGTGTACACAAGATAAAGGCACCTATAGTTGTGCGTTTGCATTTAACAAAATGATGCAATTAGTGCACACGTTCTCTCTGTCATTTCTGAAAGACATTTCTGAACATTGTGCATTGTCTGTGTTATGGATACGTCCTTAAAGTGCTCTGTGCATTTTTTCAGTTTTGAGTGAACATACATGTCTGTTTTGTTTTTCTCAGGCACATTTGAGTGGATTGATCAGAAAGAGTTGAATTACGCCCGCTGGAGTGCAGGCGAGCCTGACGGAAATGATCCAAATGCAGCTTTGTTGGAGTCTTGTGTTGCCATGTCCACTACCTCTGCAGGTGCAGGGGCCTGGCTTGACCAAATGTGCCAGTCCAGTGCCCTCTTCTCTGTTTGCAAACTGCCCAAACGTGAGTATACTACAGTTAATATAGGCCATCAACTTCGGGGTTTGGTCGGTACCAAATGAGGGGAAAATTGGTCATTGTGATTTGGGCAAGGTATTCAACCCTTTAGTTGGAAAATATGTGATAGCATAGCAGCGGTAGCAGCTTTTTGGGTGCTATCACTCATTAAAAAATGGCAGATAAAACATGCTTGTTATCAAATATAATTAATCCGGTTCAAGCATATTGGCGGCCATTTTGAAAATAAAAGTGATAACACCCAAAAAACTACCACCGCTCACACTACAAAGCTATCTCACATTTTCCAATTCTAGATGTGTATCTCTTGCAAAAAATCGCTATAAACATTGCTCTTTTCGATTATTTTATACCGGTGGCCCAACTTTTGGACCGAAGCCTAAAATTCTGAACTTTAACCAACATGAAGTCACTTACATTTTCGCTCTGCATTGCTTTGACTCGAATGTTAGATTTCAAATTTCATATTCACAAATCAGAGACCCCTTCACGGGCAACAGTAAATATTTTACAAGTGTGAAAGGTGAGATAGCAAATAGAGGTGGTGAAAGCTAGAATGCTGCTTTCAAAATATTTCACTAACCACAATGACTAATGGATGAAATTAGGACAATGGTTAATTCCAGCAGGTCTCAAGCAACGAATTCAGGAGGGGTTCTCGATTTCGAAGCCACCCATTTTCACGTCTTTAAATTTCAGAGATTATTTGCTTGACAATATCAAAACATTTGTGAAACAGTCACATTCACATCACTCCAGATGCTTAATTATTATTTTAATTATTTGATCTGTGTTTTTGTGTATTTCAGAGCCCACTTACCAGTCAAGGTGTAAGTCGCATTAATTTTTATATTTCTATAATGTAAAGGTTGAGTAAAACAAAGGCTTTTTTTTAATCAAAGTCATTTTTTTCAAAAGTAGAATTAGGGTGGCCAAAATATATTTTATCAGAATTGTGTCACGGCTAATCTGAATATATCATGCATTTATGTGGAGCTAAGCATTGCGATCATGTAAGCACTTGTTCATTGTGTCCTCAATTTATTACCGTTCCAAATTGCAAGCTCTTGAAGTAGACAGTACCTCCTTGCATCGTGGTTGCCTGAAATCATTGCCTGGCTGCTCTTCCTTCAACTTGAAGGCCATCGAGGTGAATACACAATTCAGCCTGTAATCCCATATCAGTACTATTTAACAGTATGCCACAGAGCATTTAGATTCTTATCAGCACTCATCCCAATGATCAGTATGGATCACATGTGAAATAGGATTTGAAAAGGTAATAAATTGAGGACACAATGAACAAGAGCTTACATAATCGCAATGCTTAGGTCCACATTAATTAAATTTGCATTATCTATTCAGATTAGCCGTGACATAATTCTGGTAAAATTTTTTGGCCACCCTTATTGTATTTCTGTTAAAATTGACTTCGATTAAAAAAATGCCGTTTTTTACTCACCCTGTATATTTACATATCTATTTTTTTTCATGTGGAACATTTTGTTGACATGTTGAGAACTTCATATGATAAGATGTGTTAATGTGACTGGTTATATCTAATAACTGAATCGATATTTATAATGCTCGTAGTGATTCACATACTTGCTTTAGGTCAGTCAGATGTTATTCAACATGGTATTTATACTGGTTACAAACTCAACATTCTACAAAGTTTTTTTATGTTGAATGGGAAAACAATATTGGTGCCTGTTTCCCAAAATGAATAGCTGAGAGCATATACATAAACGATCAATTGATGCAAGCTCTCATTTTCAAAATTTCAAGTAAAGTCTTGGCACCATTCCCAGAAATTTGCTGTAATTTCACGAGATACGGCTAAACATTTATGAAGGTGTGCTGAGAGAGACAGGTGCATGATGATGAACGGGAAAGCAATAGAGGAAGCTTTGGACTTGATTGTATTGTTGATGACTGGGTTTAAAACTTTGCTTATATTAAAATTATAATTGAATACAGTTTGTGGCTGGAATGTTGAAGAGTTAAAAGTTAGAGATCAGTGCTACTTTCCAAGTACTCTTTTGGGACCTACACAGTCTGACAAAACCTGGACTGAAGCAGAGAATAAATGTCGTGAATATGGTGGCCACCTGACAACTGCCAAGGATCTGGATGAGCAAAACTTGGTGCGGACATTGGTAAGTAATCCATCAGATTTTATTCTATGCTGATTGTATGGAACTACTTCACAATCATGGGCATCCAACTGAAAGATACATATAGTGCCACACCTCAGAACACTTTGTGGGGTGCCTAGTTATTTCTACCGTTGTGTCACAGGTATGGGTTGATTTGCTCGTAAAGTCGGCATACTCTGACAAACAAACCTAAGAAATTGGTAAGGTGTGACTGTTTCACTTGGACAAGGAAATGTTCTTCTTTTACTTCAGACTTAAAAGTCTGTTCCTTCGTTTTTATTCATTTGTTGTGTTACAATCATTGTAGATGATAGATGGTGTGTCTCATTGTAAGAGCCCAATTCCATAGCTTTAGCGAGCACACTTTTTCACTTGTGCTCATTACATCTGTGTTAAATCTATAGTCACAGGATGCTTTTATATTTAAAGCCCACACTATGTGCAAAGAGTTTCCTGCTGCATGTACAGTTGCTGAAGATTATTTGCTAGTTGGCAATTCCAGCATCACACACATTATAAATCAGAGAACTGTTTTTGCACTTTACGAGCTCAGTGCATAAACCTGCAAGTTCATTTTTAAATCTAAGTTAAATGGTCATAGAGATTACACAATCGGAGTTTTGGATCAATAATTAGACATTATTGTGCATTGGCTATGTCATGGACATTATATTGTTTTTGTTTTTTAATGTTATGTCTATACAGTGTTCATTTGCTTTAGAGGGAAGGCCTCACAGCCAAACCTTTAAAAGCTATAACACCTACAAAAACCGATGTTTCAACCTGGGAGCCTCTTTCAATTTTTTTTAATCTGCTTATACATTTAAATATTTTTTTTTTTTTTATTTGATTTGATCCACAATTTAGTTATCAAGTGCCCCTATACTCTGTTTCTATTCGACACTTATTGCTCAATTATGTACGTGTTGACACTTAGTGCTCAATTGTGTATTACATCTTTTGCTTTCCCTTTTCATTATATAATGTGTTTTATTTGAGTTTGTTTCTGCATTCAATAGGGGACGTTGAACAAAAGAGGACAATAGGGTCCCCAATTCCCAAGAGGTCCCTAATTTGGATTCGTGTACAACACATATGGGAGGTTAGGGTACATATGGAAGTTAGGGTACAAACAAAATGGGGACAATGGGGTCCCCGATTGCAGGCAAATATACATTTGTGTGTGTGTGTGTCTGTTTCAACATTTGCTGATGCTGATCGTAGATGTCTCACCCAAGAAGTTGATGACAGGCGGGCACGCTCTAAAAGTAGCGGGTGACTAGCCCGCAAAATATTAAAGTGACAGCTGGATGCGTGCTAAGCGAAGCAGGCGACCTGCCTGCTAAGCGGATGACAGGTGGGTGTTTGCCCGCTAAGTGGCTGCTTCCCCCACAAAGCAGACAAAAGGTTGTGAAGCCTCCTCCCCCGAGAAACTGGCATGTCTATCGACTAACGTGTTAATTCACTGAAAACATTCTTTGTTCTTGTGAACCCAAACTCTGTTGACAAATCCAACAGACATTTTGGTAACATGATTTTATGCTTGTTACTGTTTATAGGCATTCGGTTTGGCAAGGAGTTACTGGCTTGGTTTGCGGGATGAAGGCGCAGGGTTTCGGTGAGTTATATGTATTTACATTAAGAACAGCAGCAGCTAGAGAACATTCCAAAAATGTTCTAAAACAAAACCCTACTTACAATCCCTGGCATGAAACTCTAAATTATATTATACTATTACCATTTATTTCTTGTAATTAAACTTAGGATTGGAATAAAATGCTTAGTTACATGCTGCATTGGCGTATCAAACTAAATTGCTTTTTAAGGGGAACATTTATCATTTCATGTCACCTTCTCTTTGATTCACCCTGTATATTACCTCCAGACGGGCCACTGACCCTCTTTCCAATTCTTGTCTAATTGACTCGGAACCAGCCTGTATGGTAGCAGTCACGTGTCTGTCGGACTCTCTCACGGTCACTGTTGAGTGGGCACTTGTGCTCACAGTGCAGACAGATGCACGTGTGTATCCCAATGAACTGTGTCAAAAGGACTCATTAATCCTTACTCCTAATTGCTAATATACAAGCCTCCTCACCACTCAAGCATGGAACACAAACCTGTCAGTGATTAAGAGGCGGATATGATCCTTCATTTTAACAATAATTAGCCAAACGTTCTGAGATCATGTCAAGAAACTTGGGCCGTGTCCAAATCAGGTGAGTTGTGGCAAAAACAATGTACCAATGAGACCAGGCGTGAAATTTTGATTTCTAACATTGCTCTTTTATTTTTCCATTCACAAAGCTGGAGTGATGGCACTTGGTTTGACATCTATACCGACTACTCGGAATTCCCTGGTGGTCAACTTCCAGAAAACGTGGTTGATGAGGAAGATTGTACAGAACTGCGTATATGGCAGAGTAAGCATAGACCCTTTGCTCTGTGCCCCTCACAGAGGGCAGTTTTTGTTACTAAAATTCAGTAACAATGAATTTACAAGTTGTTTACTCGTGTAAATTACGGAGGAATACATGTAAAGGTCTGCCTCACATGTGGTTTCAGATATGCAAGGGGTCTATTTAAGTTTATTGTTTAATTCTAGAGATTTGCACAATATAACGTTACTGTACCATTGGAGTTGCAAATCCTGCTTTACTGCTTTATTTGGAAATACTGCAGACCATTAGTCGAAACAAACAATCACTGTACATTCACAAAGGCCCCCTCCAATGGCAACAGCATTGTGCAAGCTATTGTACAAGGCAACTACCCCATGCCAGATTATCTGAGCAATAGCTGGCACAATGCTTTCACCATCAAGGGGCCGTGGGTGTACAGTTAGTGTGCTTGGACTGGTCAAAGTAGTCTTTCCATGGTTCACAACCCGGAATTGCTTCTAGTGGTAATATGCCAGTGACTGCTGTTGATAGCAATCAACACATGCTTTGGGGATTGTCTTATTTACAGACGGAGAGTGGGGAAGAAGTGCTTGTGGGAATTCACTCAAGTTTGTCTGCAAACGCAACGAGATCTCAACTATACCACTTCAGCCTTTACCTGGCTATCCAACCACTGGCGAGTGCCCCCAGGATTACTTCAGACTGGACAACATGTGCTTCAGCTTGAGAGGCAGAGATGAAAGTCAACGTAAGGGCTGGATTCATGCCAGAGATGATTGTAAGACGGCTTCAGTTGCAGGGACAACCCTTGCCACAGTGAGCAACCCTGGACAACAAGGTGAGGTCCACATGGACAAAACAAAAACCTACACACAATAGGTTTTGCTTCCAGGACTGTTGAGTCCAGTGATTAAATCATCGGTCTATTCATTTTTCGATTAATTGATCGTAATCCTTCAGGGTATCCTAGCTAAAAAAAAAAGCCCTAATAAATGCAGCAACATGCAACACCTGTCAAATTGACAAGCATGCATGATCCATCAGGCCAACATCTCAAGGGAAAATTGCCTCAGAGTCCGTGGTCAATGTTATCCGCAGCAGGATACCGCTCTATCATTGCACAATGATACTAGCTCTCATTGCCTTAGAATCTGCCGCTTATGCATTGGTGTTGATGGCTCAGAGCAACAAGGTCCCACAGACGTTTACGCCTGATGCACCGTGTCGAGTCTGGCAGGTATAAGGGGTAAAGTATATGATGGCCTAACAGTTATCACACTACCGATCGTAATTAACTACACCAGTTGTTCCTTATTTAGTCAAAATTTTACAATCTCTATTGAAAATTTTGCTTCCCATTTTCCCATTTGTAACATTGCATGAGACTTGTTTTACATTGCTTAAACGTTAACTTATAAATCAAACAAATAAACTACAAACTGGTTTTCAAGTTAGCAACTAAATGACAACTACAAAGATATTCAACGTACAGATTCAATCGTAGTCCATTGTTTCTTATTTCTTTCTTTCCTTTGCAGCAGCCAACTTGAATGACTCTTTGTTGTTGGAACCCCCCCCCAAAAAAAAAAACCCATCAAAAGTCCATTTCACACTGTATATGGTTTAATTTTTGTTTGTATCTGCTTCAGCTCTGTTGACGGCCATAATCAAGGGAGTAGGTGCGGAAGCATGGATTGGCTTGAATGGTATAGGCGTCCACGATCAATATCACTGGACTGATGCAACACGATTGGACTATACGAGCTGGGCACCAGGCCAACCTGACAATGCTTTGCCAATTACTGATCCGGTAAACACGTGTCTTGCACGTGTCCAGTGTACCTTTCTTTTAAAGCTCATCGCAGGCTTTGGCAGCTGCGCGGGTTTATTACCACATATTATCTTGTTATTTGAATCTTGCCTATAAAAGTAACCGGTCGCAAAGTCATAAACGTGAATCGGTTTTGTTTTTCCATGTAGCCTGGTTTTCATTTTGAAAATTCTCCACAAATGACATTTAACACCTTTCTTTTTCATTGTTAATGACTTAAGTAATACATAATGTTGGTTACAGGTACTCGATTCCATAGTCTGGAATCGTTTCCTGACAACAGCAGTCTGGTACTCAAGTAACCAGTTCCGATGCACAGCCCATAGTGTTACTACTACTGTAGACCGTTTCTTGCTAACTCATGGTTGACACGTTTTGCTAACCGAGGGGTTAACAAACTATGGAAGGTCAACACTGCAAAAATAATTTTATGGCACTCAATGACAAAATATACACGACAGAAAGGTTTACTAAAGTGAATTTACTCTTGTCATTGACAGAACTCTGCTAGTTGTGTGGCGATGATGAATGATCCAAATGACCCGGGTTTGTGGAATGATGCCACGTGTACTATCCGAAGAGCCTACCTCTGTCAGTCACCATTAGGTAGTAGTAGTTTCTGATTTTGTTATATGCCATTTTCTTGTTCATTTAGTGAAACAAGATTGCTTACATAGTCCAGGAGTATGAGAGGCAAGTGTTTTTCTACCTTCTCAGGAAAACATGGTACCTGTATAGCGTCACCTTTGGTGCCATGTGACCATCATGTCACCCGGAGGTACGACCTAAACTTGACTTGCATCATTCCAACATTGACTTTATTTCTTCTTGTCTTTGTAGTGTACATGTACACATGGTCTCCCAATTACCTACATGTATCAAGGGGGTCGGGAAAGGTTGCCAGGAGGGGTAGAAACTAGAATTGCATGTTAAGTCCATACGTTTTCAATGACACCTCTCAGTGCATTCACACACTTCCTTATGTTTTACTTTCAACCTTTTTAGTGATGAGTGGTGGCGACCCTCCTCCCCTACCAGGAAACCCATGTACAGACACCAAGTACACCAACTACTTTGACACATGTTTCCTCATGGAGAGCACTTACAAGCGCTCATTTGATAGCGCCAGCTTTGTACGTACACGATGAAACATCAACTTATCAACCACGCATACTTTGTCAAGACCTTAATTATAATTAACATTGAGGCAAATGCAATGAAATGTTTTTGTGAGGTCATCGGTAGCAATTTCATGTGACTTCACCTGCAACCCCTGACAAATAAGCTGTTCTCTAAAATTTGCCATGAATTACAAACTGGGCTGAGCATATAGTTCAAAATGCATAAAGCAAACAAGGGTATTAGATGTGCATGCGGAGAGTAGACAGAAACAGCATTGGACTTATATGAATAATCCTATTGTCTTGAGTCCTGCTTGTCCAGCCTGAGTTACGATCGAGCCCGGCAAACTAAAATAATAGTAAATAGTCCAATTTTCATATTCAAGATTAGTTAAATGTTGACAGATCACAGCCTTACCTGAGAGGGCTTGTTTTGATTTGATATCATCTGACCTCAAGAATGTTTTGTCTTGAATAGGATTGCCATGGTAGGGATGGTAGCTTGCTGTCAGTGAATGACCGATACGCGGGGGCGCTATTCACGTACCTCCTGTACCAAGCTGGTACTGATGCTTCAGATGATGAAGCCTGGTTGGGAATGAGGCGTAATCCTGTAAGTACCCACTGATTTATGGTGGAAAATCTTAAATGGGGCAGTGGATTTATGCAAAAAAGCATATATATTGATCATCAGGATATCTGAGGCGATATTGCATATCTATTTTATATTGATTTCCACAATTGCCCCAGAAGATAATAAGGAACATGTACTCCTGGTAACATGGTGGAAGGTTACTATTGAAGATCTGGACACAACTTCCTGATCAGTAGTGCAAATCCTTGACCTAATATGAATTAACAATGCATGTCAACTCAAACGTAATATTCGTGTGAAACCATTATAGTGCAGTTGATAGACATATGATAAGAAACAGTATACAAATATAACATGGTTTGAGGGTGAACAGTCGATATTCGCTCCCGGCCCAGAGGTATTGGAAGTTGACAAACTTGTTCCCGAGGCGAAGCCGAGGGAACTAGTTTGTCAACTTCCAATACCGAGGGGAGCGAATATCGGCTGTCCACCCGAAATAAACCATGTTATATTTGTTTTACTATACCTCATACATATTCAACGCCGATTTGCTTCTTTTTTTTACGTTGCAGTATGCACCTCATTTTTTTTTTTGAAAAACTTCACCAGTTCACCAAAAGAATCGTATTGCTCAACTTCACTAGTTCAGTTCGTTTACAATGCAGTGCAGCTGTAAATAGTTTGTGTACAACATTCTTTTGTACATGAGGCATCTTTATTGTCAATAAATATTTTCTAGTTTGGCATCATTGAGCTCGCTCGGGAAAATAACGCGCCGTGCAACCATCTCATCGTGTGTTACTCGTTTGGGCGATGTTCGCGCGTGCGTACTACACCCGTGCGACAGTTCCACGATTACTTTCTAAAGCGCATGCGTAGTAGACTGTCGCACGGGTAATCCATGCGACAGTCTACTACGCATGCGTATTTACCCTGTGCGTGAATCCTCGCGCGCGCGCTTGGTAAACAGAAAAAAATAACATCTGGCACGTGATGGTGAATTGACCAGTGAGTGTTCTCGATCATGAATATGTATGAGGTATAGTAATACATGCTAAACTACATATTGACAGGACCGTCTTACTAGTAACTTGTCCTCAAGTGTACTGATTTATAGGAATTTGTTATATATGTATATTCTTTCATTCTCTATTTTAAATTGTAAGGCAACTGGAGTGTTTGAATGGATTGACAAATGGCCGCTGACCTTCACCAAATGGGGTCCCAATGAACCAAACAACAACAATGGAGATTGTGTGGCACTAACTCGTGATGGCTTCTGGGCTGTCCGTCAGTGCTACGTTTACAACTACTACTTCTGCAAATACCCCTGTAAGTTGGATGACAGAGCAACCGTCAACTAATTAATCTTGACTTGCAGCCAAGACCAGCTCTGAAGTTTTAGGCCTGTGAGCTCGGTAGAGTAATTGGTAGGAAAGTGTTAATTCCTTATGCCATCACAGGATTTCAGGTTTTTTTGGTTTCGTTTCTAATTGTGGTTAACATACCATATTAGCAACAATATGTGTTTACTTGTAAACCTTAAGTTTCTTGCCAACATGTCAAAAATCAACGTACATCCCAAGGAATGGCACAAAAAGACCATAACCCGACACGCATCGTGACAAATCAACTTCTCTGTTTTTATTTCTTTAATCAGCTACTCCGCCATATGTTCCAGGGCAGAGGGGAGGGATCTGTCCTCCTGATTACGTAGAATTTCCAGGATTGGATGACTGCTACCTGTTCAATACATCGGCCACAATGATAAAGCAAGAAGCTGGAGATCTAACATGTGCCATTAATCACGACGGAGGCAAATTGCCCAGCATTCACAGCAAAGATGAGGAAGATTTCATTAAGGCCAAAACCAAAGAAGTCTTTGGTGAAAACGCCCAGATTTGGCTTGGGGTAACTCGCAATGCAGGTGAGTATATGATGTGGTCGTTGAGTGAGCACATTTGAATAAGGTTATTTGAAATTTTCAAATATCCATGTGATTGAATATTTGAATATTTGCTGCTGCCCGCAGAAATAGGCCTATTGCACAATACTCTAGCGTTTGTAAGCACAGAATACTGATCCATATGATGTGCGCTGTGGAGTTAGTAAGTGGACAACCTTGCTCAGCATAGACACAATTTTCAACACAACACCCAACAAGTCTTGCAGCATGTGTCACGTTACCATCTTTCAACTGTTGTTTTAGGTTGTAAATTACCGTTTAGTAATTGTTCTGTTATCGGCCAAATGATATTGAACCCAGGAATCAACAGTGGACTTGCATTCAGCAGATGTATACAATTGATCATCATCATGCTGCAGAGAGGCGTTGCTTGGCCCATAGGTGCCTGCTTCAATGGATCGGCAGTGCTGAGCGTTGTTGAATTTGGATTCTCCGCAGTCAAACGGCCTTTAGTTCATCAGCTGAGAGACCGCTCAACCTTATCAGGTTGTCACCCATCTATCAAGAGGTCGTCAGCATCCTTTCCTTATATTCGCCGGAAGCCCCACGATCTATTCAGCCGAGCGAGAGACTTCTATATTGCACTTCATGACCATACCGGCTTGCCCTGTGCACAAATACTGTGTCGGACGAAAAAGTCCAGCAACCTCCAATGCATCTCTCCAGTTCCTCATTTGTCACCAGGTCATGCCCAGAGAGGACGAGAAGGCACAGTCATATCTCGTGACCAAATGCATCTAGGCAGCTGCACTTACCGTCCATGTATGGCCAGGATTACTTGTAGGGCTTCTGTCGTGAGTGCCATCAACATAAGGTCATCCGCTTATCTTTTCTCACTCCCTCAACATTGGGTGCAACTCTGTATGCTGTTCGTGTTGTCCAGTCATGCGTAAATTGGTCAGTAAGTATAATAAAAAATTTACATTTTTTCTTTCTTTCAGATGATTTCAATACCTGGTTTGATCAGAGTCTGATGGACTACGTGAACTGGGATGTCAATGAACCTACTGATGATAACAATGCAAACAACAATGGCGTCCTGTTGGATGTGAATGGCGGATGGAGTGACGTCGCCTCTACTGAGAGACACAACTACATCTGCAAATCTCCCAAATGTAGGAACCACTTTGCCCTCGGCCATTTCAATCTGAAAGCACGTTTTCAATTTAAACAACCTTATCTTAACATTCATAGCTGTTATATGACATGAATCATCATTGGCATTATATCATGTTGCGTACGTGATAAGGCCGTTTTCAAACTAGAGGCTGCACAAACCACCTTTTAAGCCATGTCAAGTAACATTGCCTACTGCACCGGTGCCGACCGGTGACCACGTACCCTGGCCAGTGCAGCCACAGCGAAGGTACCGGCGTGGCAGAACAAATGATCTAAGGGTCAACTTAATTTGAATACACACGTGACTATGACATGGGCAATTCGTCCAGTAACGTGAAATGTGCTGCAGAATCACTTGCAAGTAAAGCGGCACCATCACAGCGTAAAGCAACATCGGATTTTCGGAATCACTTGGTCGCTGTTTGTCCTAATAGACACCTGTGAATATGTGGTCAAGTCGTAAGTTAAAGCCTACTGTTCCCATCTAAGTGCGGTAACTTACAATGGGTGTGTAACCTACAAGTACATGTATATTGTCATGAATGCCTTAGATACAAGAAGCGAATAAAACTCTTGACATTTATTCCATTTTTGTTTTACCACATCAAAGTTCCTTACCCTAACACTGACAGTCCATTCGACCACACTACTGAACTGCCCTACTACGGCTGCAGTTCATATGAGTGGCGATGCTACTACAACGGCCAATGTATTCAAGACTATCAACGATGCAACGGGTATTCTGACTGCTACTATGGCGAAGACGAATACAACTGTTATGGTAATTATTCATTACAGAAAGAAAGTTTGTCAAATATAGGACACAACACATATTTGCTACTGTCTTTTAAACGACACCTGTCATTTTTAGACTACACCACTGAACCATCCTACTACGGCTGCAGTTCATATGAGTGGCGATGCTACTACAACGGCCAATGTATTCAAGACTACCAAAGATGCAACGGGTATTCTGACTGCTACTATGGCGAAGACGAATACAACTGTTATGGTAATTATTCATTACAGAAAGAAAGTTTGTCAAATATAGGACACAACACATATTTGCTACTGTCTTTTAAACGACACCTGTCATTTTTAGACTACACCACTGAACCATCCCACTACGGATGTAGTTCATATGAGTGGCGATGCTACTACAACGGCCAATGTATTCAAGACTATCAACGATGCAACGGATACTCTGACTGCTACTATGGCGAAGACGAATACAACTGTTATGGTAACTACTCACATCTTCAGCTATTTTACTGTAACAGAACTGACTGTCATTAAACATTACAACTAGACTTAATGTGTATTGTAATCCATTTCTTCACTTTATCATATCTACATTCATTCTGATAAGGCGGAGAAAGGTTTAGAATTTAAGATCTCCTAGCACATCGCTTGCGTCGAGACGTATGATGTAGGGGTTAACTTCATCGAAATATCGGCACTTCTTCCCGTGAGGTGAAGTGTCATAGAAAAGCAATTAGGCAAAAGCCGAACGATCACAATGCAGGAAAAGCGGCATCTTCACGGTCTTAAGCAACAAATCTCATTTTCAAAAGCCACTGTTCGATCACTGACTGTACCCATAGACACGTGTGATCAAGTTTACTTGCCCTTGTAGCACAAACGTACACTTGCCTTCGATATTAGAAACACAGAGTAAAACAGTTTCCGTTTATTCTTTCCTTCACCAAAGCTCCTTCATATCCTACTACTGACAGCCCGTTCGACCACGCCACCGAACCATCCTACAACCACGATTGCAGACCATATCAATGGCAGTGCCACAACGGCCAATGTATTCAAAGCTACGAAAGATGTGACGGATTCTCAAACTGCTTCTTCGGCGAAGATGAATACGACTGCAATGGTAAATAGTCACAGGGAACCATTCTCTTGTGGTGTCGTAGAGATTGCTTTGAGTGGTATCCGCTCCGTTCACAAGTACCCCCTCAACGGCAAAGAAAGAACAGATGGGGGTGACCGAACGACGCCATCTTGCCCGATTGCAATTATTTTGCCGCGAAGCGCGGCCACTGCGTGTACATATAGTACAAATCCCCTGGTGTACGTGCGTCACACACAAGGAACGGTGCGCGTCAACCAGCGAAATGTCCCGCCCACGGGACGTCGTTGCAAGGTAAAGGGCGCCCTCTTTTGAGCCCATAGTCTGTTTTTACACAAAGTTATTGAAAAGGAAACTTTGACTGTCCAATGAAATGTTGTTCTCAAATACCAGATGCGTCTGCATCTGGTAGAAACGCGGAATCAGTAGTTTATGTTCCACGTTGTGTTGTTTTTATTTTACAGTCTGCAGGTCATCCATGTGGCTTTGCTACAACAGCAGCCAATGCATTCCAGACGACCAAAGATGTGACGGCTTCGAAGACTGTTACTATGGCGAAGATGAATACAACTGTTTTAACGGTAATTATTCGAAAGAAAATAGATGCTCGACGCAGCAGACATGCCTTTTCTGACTCATAAACGTAGCACTATCAAAATAATTTCAGTGATATTCTTTGTGCTCCGTTTGTTAATGGGAAAAATAGTTACTTTGTAGGCATAACTGTGTCATGCTCTTGTGTTTTTGTATGTTGTCTCATTCTTTTGGTAACACTTTTTTTCTCCACAGACGCGTGGCATGAAAGGGTGCCTTTGTGTTGATCCATATAGATGAGCCTATACATGTGTGTTTCAAACCGAAGTCAGACATCAACTTCATGCACGCATCCAAATAGTCTTGCAATTCGTGTAACGAAATGTTCTACTTTCTTTTGATTTCTGGTGATTTCCAGAGGTTTTCCAGTGTGATAATGGTGACGAAATCCCGATGAGGTATACCTGCGATCGCATTGTTGACTGCCTTTATGCGGAAGATGAGGGGCGGAACTGCGACGGTAAAACAGTTTGTACATCTTTTACCTATACACACGCGTCAGCGTCATTGGCTGTTTCGGCACACTGCCGAAACAGAACAGCTTAGTTTTTCTTTTGATTTTAAAAAAAAATTAACAGCCCTTTTGGCATAAAATACAGTCATATTACTTGACATAGACTAACACACCACATAGCAGAGATTGGCCGCGAAGACGGACGTCATGATGACGTTAACACGTGTCATGTGACGTCATCTTAAAGGTGCACATTTTAAAGTCCCATATCTGGATGTGGAGAACTACAAGTCCAATAGGGTCGAAACTTCGTCTGCATGTAGGCAGGGACGTGCTATAATTGAAAATTGAGCTGACGTCATGGTGAAGTCATCATGTGACTTTTATGGCTTTTATAAATTATTGTACCTAAAAAACATATCCCAAGAACAGAACATGATAAATTCAAAATTCCTTTGTAATGGGTTTTGTAGGTAATAAATATTTGCATAAAAACATACAAGTGATTGACGTCATGATGACGTCATAAAACGCGATTCTTTGAAACACATACAGGGGTAGATGGGATCACGAAACTTGGTGGGCAGCTAGGTAATATTATTTAATATATGAAACAGCTAAATATTTGCAAGTGACGTCAGGAATACGTCATCGATTGATTTTTTTATGAAATTTTAAGTTCTTATAATTGCATTCCATTTAATAAAAATGACACTGTTTTCGCTTATAGATCTACACCTAACGTGACACAAACCAAGATCATATTGTTCACGTGTGCATTAAAAGTGGTGACGTCACCATGCGTCATGTGACGTCATCTTAAAAGTGGATTTTTTTTAAAGTCCTATATCTAGCGAACTACAAGTTTATTTGGGTTGAAACTTTGTATGTACATAGACAGGGATGTTTTATACATAAACAATGTTTATGTCATAATGACGTCCTAGTAATTTTAAATGGATTTTTGAAATGTTTGAGGTTGATTGCAATGATTGACTTACGAACACTTCATGCTCAAATCATAATTCTTTTTGCAACAGGTTTGGTAGGTCATAGACATCTACCAAAAATATGAAAAATGTGCTACGTCATCATGACGTGATCAATAACCCGATTTCTTAAAACACACATAAGGTTCCATCATCGTGAAATAGGGTGGGAAGAACGATATGGAGAATCCGAAGTGACATCATGATGACGTCAACACACGTCATGAGATGTCAAATTAAAAGTGCCTTTTTCGAAGTCCATTGATGATATCATCACGTATTACAATGTATATACAGGCATGCAACTGGGAAATCACAAAAAAGAGGAAATTCACATTTTTCCCAGACTTTGTACAGTGTTTTTCTATTTTCAATGGCACACATGTGAAGTGAAAAAAGAGGAAATCAGCTGATCCGAGGAAAAGTTGCATGCCTGTATATACTATGTAACACCAACTTAAATTATACACAGTCCAATATTTACAGAACTACACATCGGACATGTATGAAACTTCTACATGTAAATGTACCTGCCAGATGTCACAAAGGCTTTGCCAAAACAATCATGCGTTTGTTACGAACACAAGTCTAGTTTTAGTTAACACTTATTGAACAAAATTCTCCCACCAAAGTTATTCCCGAGATGAGGTCAAATCAAGTACACTAACAAACACCTTAGGAATGTTCGTGCTAGTCACACTGAAACAAGGACGTTAAAGTTAAAAGAAATCTGAACTGATCCGTAGTTCACAAAAGCCATCTACGGTTGACCACAAGAGGGCGCTCTATCATCAGGACAATTTGAGACAAACGGTACAATCAACAATCAATGGAAGCTTCATGTTTTTCCTGCCATTATGACATTAATGTAAAGTGTTGGTATTGTGATGTAAATTCCTAGATAATGAAGTCAAGAGGCACAGCATTGAGACCTATCCGCGACGGAAGCAGCTTTTGTCGAAGGAGCAAAACACTGATGACCAAGACCAGTAGACATATCAAGGTAAACTACTCATTGTTTCTGCTAGCAAAATTGAGGGCGCTGTGACACAAAATGGACAGGCTCACTCAACACTATTCACACTTTGGCTTCACATTTACAAAACTTGTCCTAACCGAAGAGAGGCAAGATAATCGAACTTCACCTAATGATAAATCCTAACCCCAAATGAATTAAAGGGTGAAGTACCCGAAGCTACAAAATACTTTGTCTTCTGTAGCTTTCAGCCTCTTTATGAAATCTCTGATGAAAAACAGTAGCTCGCCTTGTACTGCCCGCTTCTGAGATGATAACAGGCATTACCTCTCCAACACCAGAAACAAACTAAATGTGCCACATAGTACATAATATTTGGGGTGCCATTTGCATCAAAATACAAGTAATGTACACCAATATGCTACAGTACTGCATACTGCAAATTACTACTTGTAGCTGAGGGTGAGGCTAGCTAAATTTACTACAAAGCGCCTAGTTTGGTTTCACGTCCCAAAACGAGCCCCTTAGTTATCCACACTCTGTGCATCTAAGACTGCATTGTACAAAAGATGATCACTAGGAGAGGCCAATCGGGCATGTCAAGGTTTTCTTTAAAATTAATGGATATTTAAAAGTAAGTTTGCGGTTGCGCCACGTTACAAATGTTGTGCTTAAAAGCAAAGATTTCATTGCTTTTAGAATTTTTTGTCGCTTCAGGAAACTTTGAAAGGCTATGCGAAAGATGTACTCTGGTTTCTGTTTTCATCAAAACAAAATTGCATGCTTATCCACTTTCTACTTGTAGCAATTGTAAGTTATTTTAAATTCTCGATTTGTTGCAGGAAAGAGCTGTCGTCTCGGACTCAAACCGGAAATGGAAACGACCATGGTACACTGAATTCTTATCTTCATTTGACTTTTCTTGGAATTAGTTTTGCTTTTCGATTTTATTTTGTTCAGATTTTCATTTTCGTTTTTGTTCCTTTAAGCGTTTTGTTCCAAGTTTGAGTTAACCATGAATATTTACTTTTTCGAAGTTATTCCAATTTTGTGATTTTCAATTTCTTCTTTATATGGGCAATTCCACGGAGAAGCGGACACGGTTGGAAATTGGGAATTAAATCAGTAGAACTATAAGCATCACAATCTCGAATGTGGTATCAAATCAATCGAGGCAAAAATACCTTTCATTTGAGTGGTATGCCAGTGAGATGGATTCTAGTAAAGCAAGTTATGAGCAAAAAAAAACACCACATAGTTTTTGGCAAGTATGGATTTTGGTCGTCATCTTGGCACCTTGTTTCAACATGCAGCACGCAAATCAATTTTTGTGTTTTTGTGTGCAAGGACGAGAAAAAGGTTCTCTTTC